CAGGCAATTCTCCTGCCTCAACCTCCTGAGTAGCTGGGATTACAGGCACGCGCCACCGTGCCCAGCTAATGTTTTGTATTTTTAGTAGAGACGGGGTTTCACCATGTTGACCAGGATGGTCTCGATCTCTTGACCTCGTGATCCACCCGCCTCGGCCTCCCAAAGTGCTGGGATTACAGGCTTGAGCCACTGTGCCCGGCCAAATTTTTGTATTTTTAGTAGAGATGAGGTTTTGCCATGTTGGCCAGGCTGGTCTCGAACTCCTAATCTCAGGTGATCTGCCTGCCTTAGCCACCCAGAGTGCTGGGATTACAGGCTTGAGCCACTGTGCCCAGCTTTCTTGTTTTTTTTTTTTTCTCTATAGAGACGGCCCAGCTGGTCTTGAACTCCTGACCTTAAATGATCTGCCCACCTCAGCCTCCCAAAGTGCTGGGATTACAGGGGTGAACCACTGCATCCAGCCTGGACATGTGCTTTTATTTATCTTATTTCCACCTAGGAGTAGAAATGGTATTTCATTATGGTTTAAATTTGCGTTTCTATGATGACTTAATGATGTTGAACATTTTTTACTAGCCTTTTTTTTTTTTTTAAAGACAGGGCTTCACCATGTTTGTCAGGTGAAGAACTCCCGACCTCAGGTGATCCACCCGCTTTGGCTTCCAAAGTGCTTGGATTACCGGCGTGAGCCACCACGCCTGGCCCATTTTTTACTAGTCTATTGTCCATTCATCTATCTTATTTTGTGAAGTATCTGTTTAAATATTTTGCCCATTAAAAAAATTGATCTGGGCTGGGTGCAGTGGCTCACACCTGTAATCCCAAGCACTTTGGAAGTCCAAGGCGGGTGGATCACCTGAGGGTCGGGAGTTTGAGACCAGCCTAGCCAACATGGCAAAACCCGATCTTTACTAAAAATACAAAAATTAGCCAGGGGTGGAGGTGCGCCTGTAAGTCCAGCTATGGTGCCTAGAACAGGACAAAACAATATCTAAACTTTAAATAGAGGATACATTTTCTCAGCACTATAACAATGTTGTGTCAATGAAATAAGAACAGGTTCTTTTTAAAAAAGAACGTTGGAGCCGGGCGCGGTGGCTCACGCCTGTAATCCAAGCACTTTGGAGGCCAAGGCGGGCGGATCACCTGAGGTCGGGAGTTCAAGACCAGACTGACCAACATGGTGAAACCTGTCTTAAAAAAAAAAAAGAAAAGAAAAGAAAAAAAGAATATTGGAGAATAGAACATCTAAAATATGATAACCATTAACTTTAATCAATGAGTTGGAAGATAAAATTGAGAAAATAGCTTGTGAAAAGAACCCCAAAAGCTGGAAAAAATTTTTTAAAAGCTAAAGGGTCCAGTAAGACTAATATTCAATTAAGAAGCATTACAGAGGGCTGGGTGCAGTGGCTCATGCCTGTAATCCCAGCACTTTGGGAGGCTGAGGTAGGCAGATCATGAGGTCAGGAGTTTGAGACCAGCCTGACCAACATGGTGAAACCCCATCTCTACTAAAAATTCAAAAACTAGCCAAGCACGATGGTGCACACCTGTATTTCCAACTGCTAAGGAGCTAAAGCAGGAGAATCACTTGAACCCGGGAGGCGAAAATTGCAGTAAGCCAGATCGCACCACTGCAGTTCAGCATGGGTGACAAAGTGAGACTCTGTCTCAAATAAATAAATAAATAAGCATTACAGAGATATGGAACATAGAGAAATGGAGGGAAAGCAATCATCGAAGGAAAAATTCAAGAAATCATCTCAGACCTGAATGGCCTAGATTTCTAAAATGAAAGGCCCACTGAGTACACAACATAATGGATGAAAACGTTCATTCAAAGACATATGCAGTTTCAGATCAATGAGTTAACAGAAGATCCTAAAACCTAAAGAGAAAAAGCCGGTCACATTCAAAGGAACAGCAATCAGAATGGCATCATGCTTTTTATTAACTATGCCGGATAATGTAGGAATGCTTTCCACTGATTTATGATATAAATTACTTAAGGCTGGGTGTGGTGGCTCATGCGTGTAATCCCAGCACTTTGGGAGGCCTGAGGTCAGGAGGTCAAGACCAGCCTGGCCAACATGGTGAAACCCCATCTCTACTAAAAATACAAAAATTAGCCAGTCAAGGGGGCAGGAACCTGTAATCCCAGCTACTCCACAGGCTAAGGCAGGAGAATTGCGCGAACCTGGGAGGCAGAGATTGCCATGAGCCAAGATCACACCATTGCACTCCAGCCTGGGCAACAAGAGTGAAACTTCATCTCAAAAATAAAATAAATAACTTACTTAAACTGTGAATTCAGTAGAGTATTTTCAAGCCAGGTGTAGTGACTCATGCCTATAATCTCAAGCCTTTGGGAGGCCAAGGCCGGTGGATCACTTGAGCCTCAGGAGTACTAGCTTGGGCAACATGGTGAAACCCCATCTCTACAAAAAAAAAAAAAAAAAAAGGTGTGCGATTGGAGTCCCAGCTACTTGGGAGGCTGAGCACAGAGGATCACCTGAGCCCAGGGAGATCGAGGCTGCAGTGAGCCATGATCATGCCACGGCACTCCAACATAGGTGATAGAGTGAGACCCTCTCTCAAAAAAATAATAAAAAAACATTTTCAGATATGTGACATCTTATTTCCTATCCATGTACCCTTTGTCAGGAAACTACTAGAGGACGCGGTGCACCAGAATAAGAGAATAAACCCAGAAACAGGAAGACGTGATCCAGGCAACAGGATATTTCAATATAGGTGAGAAATAAGAAAGCCTCTAAGATGATAATGAAGGGAAATCCTAGGGTGATAGCTGGCCTGGCTGCAGGCCTAGGGAACAATCAGTAAGGCTGGAGCCAGAGGACAGAAGCCTCCAGGAGGGAGACACCCAAGAAAGAAGATGCAATGAATACAGGAAAAGTCTATACTTTTAGTGAATGATAGAGAATAAATTCATGATTGGAACATAGGAAACTAA